GATTTTATATCATAATATAAAGAACTATAAAAATGTTCAGGATATAATGAAATACTTAAATGTGGACAACCAAACAGCACTATCTCATTTAGACTCTACCGATTTTGTCAGGCGGTGTCTGAAAAGGAATTGTCATTCTTAGACAGATTATACATCAATTTGGAGGACAAAGCTACATAGATGGGTTATTACCATGTAGTTTATTAGGTGCAACCAACTGTACAAGCAGAAGGAACATCGTGATGAGAAGTCAGAAGTCTTGAGAAATTACTGTCATCGAGCCTGTAACTGAGGTCACGCCTAGAGAGAGTCTTGGATTAATGATCTGTCACTTTCTGTAAACACACATTCCAAACACTATGAACCTCTGCGGCTGCATGAAAATTACATTAAATAAGAAATGCATCCAATATTTGTTAGAATAATGGAAAGGGGTGAGAACAAGCTCTACAGTGGGGAAGCGGACCAGGGAGCAGGAAACATGGAGAAACAGGAGGAAAATAAAAAGATTTTCAGTTACTGGTGGGTAATTTTGCTAAGAATGCGAGGGGGATCTTATTGGGCCATTTGGAAGAGAAAGATGATGATGGAGGAGGAGGAGGAGGAGGAGGAATACTGATCCTGCCCACAGGGTCTCTCCACTGGGTTGGACTCTCCAGTGGAAAAGATGCGGTGGACGAGAGTGATTTCCACTCTTTCCCTTCTCCCTGCAACTTGGAGAGTGGGGAAAAATATTCTTCCCGCTGGATTTGCAATTTCATATATTGATGAATTCTCAGCAGAGAGCTACTAGAAAACCATGATCTTGTCATAATCTCAAATTGGCCCCTTCACATGTTTGACTTTTAAAAGAAAACAGTAAACTATTAACATATTCCGGTAGAGAGAAGTTCCTTGAGGATGGGCTCCAGCACTAGTCTGAAAACTCAGAAGACTAAAAACTAAGCTTCTGGTCCCATTGACTGATCCCTATTGGATCCTGCAACATTATCCCAAGGCACGTATATTTGCCTTCATTCAGGTAAAATATTAACTCTTTGGTAATCTTAGTAACGGGACACAGTGGCTCAGTGGCTAAGACGCTGAGATTGTGGATCAGAAAAGTTACCGGTTCGAATCCCTAGTGCCATGTAACGGAGTGAGCTCCCGTTATTTGTCCCAGCTTTTGCCAACCTAGCAGTTCGAAAGCATGTAAAAAATGAAAGTAGGAAAATTGCAACCACCTTTGGTGGGAAGATAACAGCATTCCGTGTGCCTTTGCCATTTATTCATGCTGGCCTCATGACCATGGAGATGTCTTTGGACAGCGCTGGCTCTTTGGCTTTGAAATGGAGATGAGCACTGCCCCCTAGAGTCGAGAACGACTAGCACATGCATGCGAGGAGAACCTTTACCTTTAATCTTAGTAAAATAAAAACAGAGCTGTAACCAGAGAAGGGGCGGTTCTGGAGGGTTTCTTTCCTCCTCCCCACTGCCTTCCCCCACGCTTTTACAAGAAGGTCTGGTAGTTGCAAACTGTCTTTTAAAAACTTAGATATGCTGCTCCTACTTTTCTTGTTGTATTAGGCTTCACGGAACCTTCTGAGACAAGCTTTCTATCAGGTGCAAATGTAAAAGGTTCATACTTAGGTAGAGCTTATGGTCAATGTTATTACCATTTTGCAGGTAAAGAATGAAACTTGAAGGAATGTGTGGCTTATCCAAGGACCCCACTGCCCACAAATAATTCCAGCAGAAGCCTTTCGTATTCACTTTCTAAAGCATCCGGGTCTTTCTCCAACCAGGGAACCTTTCTGCTTGCATTTGAAACAGCATCAGAAAAATCTATCCCAATTACATTTTGCAAGTAGTGTTGAAATCCTCCCATTCTCATCTATTGAGAAGATGATCTTGCCATCTACGTTTGCCACCAGGTGCACTTTGACTGCTGAAAGTGCAGTACATTGTGAAGGAATATTTGTGAATAAGCAAAAGGTAACAAATCGATGCGGATTGATTTGTGCTAGAGCAATTAAAGACTATAAATTGGTATGTCGATAATTTCTGAATGCTGCTGGCAGAATGCTTTATACTGTGAGCAGAATGACATCATGTGTGTGTGTGTGTGTGTGTGTGTGTGTGTGTGTGTGTGGTCAGAGCTGCCGTCTTTCTATAAATCTTGTTGGGGTGTGTGGAATGCTGACTCTGTTTCAGTAAGTGGATTGATTGGCTGTGTGGTTGTATCATGATTGGTAGATTGGTGCTGGCTGTGTGTCCGTTGTTTTGTGTTGTAACGGCCTGGGTGGTGGGTAGGGCTCGTTTGTTGACTAGGGCTGGTTTCCAGATGTCTGGTAGGCGGGAGGTATCATCACGTTTATTCATGTTGTGGGGGTGTTTCTCTATTTCGATAGCTTCCATAATTATTCCCTTGTTGAAGTGTTCAGTTTTGGAGATTAATTTGGTTCCTTCAAAATTAATTTCATGTCCTGTTTGTATTAATCTCCAAAACTGAACACTTCAACAAGAGAATAATTATGGAAGCTATCGAAATAGAGAAACACCCCCACAACATGAATAAACGTGATGATACCTCCCGCCTACCAGACATCTGGAAACCAGCTCTAATCAACAAACCACCCACCACCCAGGCCATTACAACACAAAACAATGGACACACAGCCC